TCTAAAAAAAAAAAAAAAAAAAAAGGAATGAATAAAATCCATGTCCGATTTCCTTAATAGGATTATTACAAGGACTAAGTGAGATAATGGAAACAAAAATGCTTTTAAGAAACTGTGAGTGAGGAATTCCAATGATTCACTTTTATTTTCCCACTAATAAAGATATAAAAGGTAGGGATTGGGATAGTTGATCACTGCCAGGTAGAAAGTATATGCTGAGGCCGGGCACTGTGGCTCAAGTCTGTAATCCCAGCACTTTGGGAGGCTGAGATGAGCGGATCACCTGAGGTCAGGAGTTTGAGACCAGCCTGGCCAACATGGTGAAATCCCATCTCTAAAAATACAAAAATTAGCTGGGTGTGGTGGCAGGCACGTGTAATCCCAGCTACTGTAGAGGTTACTACCAGGCTACTCTGGCCAGACCAGCCTAGCCAACATGGTGAAACCCCCTCTCTAAAAATATAAAAATTAGCTGGGTGAGTTGGCGGGCACCTGTAATCCCAGCTACTTGGGAGGCTGAGGCAAGAGAATTGCTTGAACCCAGGAGGCGGAGGTTGCAGAAAACCAAGATCATGCCATTGCATTCCAGCCTGGGCAACAAGAGCGAGATTCCATGTCAAAAAAAAAGAAAGTATATGCTCAGAAAGGTGTGAGTTGCACTCAACCTAGGTAATGTTTTTCTTTTGTCCTTCTCATTCCTCTTCCCTACCTTAGCCCAAATGCTGATTCCAGCCTTCTACTAGAAATCCTGACTAGATATGTAACCTAAGCAGAAAGCAGTTGTCCCACCACCAGAAGCCTATTTGCCAATGTCATGGTGCCTCTCCCCACTTTACCTTCCCCAGATGCTGCTTCAGATTGCTGATGATTTTATCGAGAGTGTGGTGACAGCAGCCTGTCAGCTTGCACGGCATCGCAAGTCCAGCACTCTGGAGGTGAAAGATGTCCAGCTACATTTAGGTATGTGGTCTTGTTTCTCCCTGAAATATGTGTTCAACTGCTGCTTCAGAACTGCCAGGGGAAGTATAGTCAGAGGAACCTTCATGCCAGAATCAGACTTTTGGGCACTGGGATTTATGTATCAGTTCAATAACAGCACTAAATAGAAAAGAAAAATCCATGGTAGGGAGAATGAACGCAGGCATGGATTTGAAACCAGATTCTGCCACTTTCCAGCTGTATCAGCCTATTTTTCCTACCTAGTTTCTCTTAGACTCTGTTTCCTCATTTGTAAAGTGAGGATCATAGTCTCCTCCTTACAGGGTAAATCTGATAATTATAGACTATGTCTGTAAAGTGACTGGCACTGGGCCTGGTAAGTTTAGGTACTGTTATGCCTCTACCATTCAAATAAAACTGTTCTTCAGTGTTCCCTTACAGTTTTTAACCTATTTATGTATTTTTCCCCAAGCTGATAATCATAATATACATACAACTTTATATTCTTAACAGACACTAAATTTGAGTTTGGGTTTTTCTGGGAGATACTTAGCTAATAGTGATAATCATAATCACTTGGAAATGAATAAGCAGCCCTCTGCATTGGTTACAATGTGATCAAAAGAAAGAGATTAGTATATGTATGTATATAATTTTAATTATATATATAAAATATATAATTTTAATTATTATTATTTTTTTTTTGGGACAGAGTCTTGCTCTGTCACCAGGCTGGAGTGCAGTGGCATAATCTCGGCTCACTGCAACCTCTGCCTCCTGGGTTCAAGCAATTCTTCCGCCTCAGTCTCCCGAGTAGCTGGGACCATAGGTGTGTGCCACCATGCCCAGCTAATTTTTTTGTATTTTTAGTAGAGATGGAGTTTCACCGTGTTGGCAAGGATGGTCTTGATCTCTTGACCTCGTGATCCTCCTGCCTCGGCCTCCCAAAGTGTTGGGATTACAATAATTTTAATTTTTAAAATTTTGTTTGTTAAAAAAAAGAAATAAAATTTTGTTTGTTTATTTATTTATATATTTTGAGACAGAGTCTTGCTCTGTCACCCAGGCTGGAGTGCAGTGACGCGATCTCAGCTCACTGCAATCTCCGCCTCCTGGGTTCAAGCGACTCTCCTACTTCAGCTTCCTGAGTAGCTGGGACTGCAGGCACCTGCCACTGCACCAGGCTAATTTTTGTATTTTTAGTAGAGACAGGGTTTTGCCATATAGGCCAGGCTGGTCTCGAATTCCTGACCTTGTGATCCACCTGCCTTGGCCTCCTAAAGTGCTGGGATTACAGGCATGAGCCATTGCGCCCAGATATTTTTTTATTTTTTGAGATGGAGTCTCGCTTTGTCACCCAGACTGGAGTGCAATGGCGCCATCTCAGCAACCTCCGCCTTCTGGGTTCAAGTGATTCTCCTGTCTCAGCCTCCCAAGTAGCTGGGACTACAGACCTGTACCACCACACCTGGCTAATTTTTGTATTTTCAGTAGAGATGGAGTTTCATCATGTTGGTCATGCTGGTCTCAAACTCCTGGCCTCAGGTGATTCACCTGCTTTGGCCTCCCAAAGTGCTAGGATTACAGCCATGAGCCACTATGCCTGGCCCAGTCTATACCTATAGAGACAGTCAGGCCAAATGAATGAGACAGACAATATTAAGGGATTTGGTACAGATCAGCCCATGAATAATTATTGAAAGGCTTCCTTCACAGTGTCAAGAAGCTATTGCCTTGGGGAGACGTTGGTAGTCTAGGTAAAGTAACACACTTTGGTTAATATTGCTGGTATATAGAGAAAAGGACAGATATTCCAGTTATCCGTCAATGTGTAGAAGACCACCCCAAAACAGTGGCTTAGCACAATAACAGTTGTTAATTTTATTCATGAATCTAGGGGTTGACTGGGCCCAGCTAGTTTTACTATGTTAGGCAGTGGCTGGGCCTGAGATTGTCTTGAAGGAAGGCATACGAGTTTCCTAGGGTTACCTTAACAAAGTACCATAAACATGGCAGCTTAAAACAACAAAAAATTTTCTTTCACAGTTCTGAGGCCAGAAATCTGAAATCTAAGTGTCAGCAGGGTCATTTTCCCTCTGTTGCCCCTAGGGAAGAATCTATTCTTGCCTCCTCCCAGCCTCTGGTGGTAGCTGCCAATCCTTGGTTTTCCATGGCTTGTGGCTGCAGAACTCCAGGCTCTGCTTTGGTCTTCACATGTCCTTTTCCCTGTGTGTCTCTATCTCTGTGTCTCTTCTCTTCTTCCCATAGAACACCAGTCATATTGGATTAAGGGCTAACCCTACTCCAATATGATCTCATTTTATTTATTTATCTCATTTTAACCAATTTCATCTGTAACATCCTATTTCCAAATAAGATCATATTCTGGAGGTACTTAAGGTTAAGACTGCAACATATCTTTTTGAGGGACACTATTTAAATAACCCATAATGGAAGGCTTCATATGTCTTCCATGTCTGATGCCTGGCCTAAGAACACTGAAAAAGCTAGGATTCTGCAGGTGTCTCCCTCCATCCCTTCCACCCTCCCATTCCCCTTCACATTCTCCAATCGTGCCCTTCCCATCCTCTCCATCCACCGTCTTTCCATATGGTCTTATGCTTTAGCAGTCCCAGGATAACTAGACTTCTTACATGACAGCTAAAGGCTCCCAGAATTAGCATCCCATGAGCACCTGGCAGAAAACTTCATGGCCTTTTGTAACCCAGTCTTCAGCATCACTCTTGGTGAATTCTGTTCTTTGAGGCAGTCAGACCTGTCCAGCTTCAGCAGGAGGGAACACAGACTCCATCTCTTGATAGCAGGAGTGTGAAGGAATTTATAGACATGTGTTTTTTTTTTTTTTTTTTTTGAGACGGAGTTTCACTCATGTTACCCAGGCTGGAGTGCAATGGCGTGATCTCGGCTCACCGCAACCTCTGCCTCCTGGGTTCAGACAATTCTCCTGCCTCAGCCTCCTGAGTAGCTGGGATTACAGGCACGCACCACCATGCCCAGCTAATTTTTTGTATTTTTAGTAGAGACGGGGTTTCACCATATTGACCAGGATGGTCTCGATCTCTTGACCTCGTGATCCACCCACCTCGGCCTCCCAAAGTGCTGGGATTACAGGCTTGAGCCACCGCGCCCGGCCTTATAGACATGTTTTACAACCACCACTAGGGGCCTGGTATGGTGGCTTATACCTGTAACTCCAGCATTTTGGGAAGCTGAGGCAGGAGGATTGTTTGAGCCCAGGAGTTCAAGACTAGCCTGGGTAACATAGTGAGACGTCATCTCTACAAAAGATTTTAAAATTTGCTCATGCATGGCTAAGAGGAAAAAAATATAAAAAAATAAATAATTTTTTAAAAAAAGATTTAAAAATTAACCAGGCATGGTGGTGTGTACCTGTAGTCCCAGCTACTCAGGAGGCTAAGGCAGGAAAATCACTTGAGCCCCGAAGGTCAAGGGTGCAGTGAGCTGTTGTCATCACACTGCATTCTAGCCTGGGTGACAGAGTGAGACCCTGCCTCTAAATAAGTAAATACATACATACATTAAAAACAACTCGTTTGGGTGTGGTCCTGTGATCCTGGCACTTTGGGAGGCCGAGGTAGGTGGATCACTAGGTCAGGGGTCAAAACCAGCCTGGCCAAGATAGTGAAACCACCTGTCTATTAAAAATACAAAAGTTAGCCAGATGCAGTGGCGGGCACCTGTAATCCAGCTACTTGGAAGTCGGAGGCAGGAGAATTGTTTGACCCCAAGAGGTGGAGATTGGAGTGAGCTGAGATCATGCCACTGTACTCCAGCCTGGGTGACAGAGGGAGACTCTGTCTCCGAAAAAAAAAAAATCAATCCACCACAACACAAATTCATAGAGACAGAAAGAATAAGTAAGCCAGGGCTGGGCACAGTGGCTCATACCTGTAATCCCAGCACTTTGGGAGGCCAAGGCAGGCGGATCACAAGGTTAGGAGTTCGAGACCAGCCTGGCCTACATAAACCCCTTCTCTACTAAAAATACAAAAATTAGCTGGGTGTGGTGGCGCATGCCTGTAATCCCAGCTACTCAGGAGGCTGAGGCACAAGAATTGCTTGAACCAGGGAGACAGAGGTTGCAGTGAGCCAAGATCGCGCCACTGGACTCCAGCCTGGGTGACAGAGTGAGACTCCGTCTCAAAAAAAAAAAAAAGTAGAATAAGTAGAACACTGTTTCCAGGGGCTGAGGGGAAGAGGGTAGAGGGAGTTACTTAATGGATATAGAGTTTCAGTTTGGGAGGATGAAAAAGTTCTAGAGATGGTTGATGGTAGTGGTTGTATAACAAATGTGAATTGGGGCTAGGTGCAGTGGCTCATGCCTGTAATCCCAATGCTTTGGGAGGTAGAGTTGGGCGGATCACCTGAGGTCAGACGTTTGAGACCAGCCTGGCCAACATGGCGAAGCTCTTCTCTACCAAAAATACAAAATTTAGTTGGGCGTGGTGGTGCGCAACTGTAGTCCCAGCTACTTGGGAGGCTGAGGCAGGAAAATTGCTTGAATCCAGGAGGTGTAGGATGTAGTGAGCCTAGATTGCGCCACTGAACTCCAACGTGGGTAACAGAGCAATAGCCCATCTAAAAAAAAAAAAAAAAAGAAGTTAAATGAGGTAATTTATATAGAATGCTTTGCACAATGTTGCTTTGACCATGCATTTACTACATTTCATTAACTAAATGATTGTTGTTGCTATTAAGATTATATAAAATAGGCCTGGCACGGTGGCTCATGCCTGTAATCTCAGCACTTTGGGAGGCCAAGGCGGGCAGATCACGAGGTCAGGAGATTGAGACCATCCTGGCTAACACGGTACAACCCCATCTCTACTAAAAAAACAAAAAAAAATTAGCTGAGCATGGTAGCATGAGACAATTATCTTGTCTCAGCCTCCCAAGTAGCTGGGATTACAGGCATGAGCCACCGTGTCTGGCTTTTTTTTTTTTTGAGACAGAGTTTCGCTCTTGTCACCCAGGCTGGAGTGCCATGGTACCATCTTGGCTTACTGCAACCTCTGCATCCTGGGTTCAGGCAATTCTGCCTCAGCCTCCTCAGTAGCTGGGATTACAGGCACGTGCCGCCATGCCCAGCTAATTTTTTGTATTTTTAGTATAGACGGGGTTTCACCATGTTGACCAGGATGGTCTCGATCTCTTGACCTCATGATCCACCCGCCTCGGCCTCCCAAAGCGTTGGGATTACAGGCGTGAGCCACCGCACCTGGCTTTTTTTTTTTTTTGAGATAGAGTCTTGCTTTGTCTCCCAGGCTGGAGTGTAGTGGTACCATCTTGGCTCATTGCAACCTTTGCCTCACAGGTTCAAGTGATTCTTCTGCCTCAGCCTCCCAAGTAGCTGGGATTACAGGTACCCGCTACCACACCTGGCTAATTTTTGGTATTTTTAGTAGACACAGGGTTTCACCATGTTGCCCAGGCTGGTCTTGAACTCTTGACCTCAGGTGATCCTCCCACCTCAGCCTCTGGAAGTGCTGGGATTACCAGCGTGAGCCACCACTCCCCAACCAGCTAATATTTTTGTTTTTAGTAGTGAGGAATTCTCACTATTTTGCCTAGGCTTCTCTGAAACTCTTAGGCTCAAGCAGTCCTCCCATCTTGGCCTCCCAAAGTGCTGGGATTACAGGCGTGAGCCACCACACCTGGCCGGTGTCACTTTCAAATACTAATAACTTAAATTGCTAGCAGAAGGTTTCAGAAATTCTGTTTTCAAAGAAGTATTGAGCCAGGTGTTGTGGCTTATGCCTGTAAATATTGGGTTTGCTTAAAGTGCAGTACACCTTTATATGTGAATTTAGGGGGCCAAGCAGCTATGCTAGTTACTAAGTGGAATAAACAAAGTCCATATCCTCTGGGAACTTCTTGTGATAATCTTAGGAGGAGGATGATATCCAGGGGCACCAGGGCATGGAACTGTGGTGTGGACATACCTCTATCTATATCCATACCTATTTATTTGTTGCAGGCTCTGGGCTGAACACTTCACATGCATTATGTCATTGAATGCCCCAACCACCCTCTCAGGTGGTTATTACTGTTGTTATGGCTACATAAAAAATGAAGAAACTGAGACCCAGTGTCATACAGCTGCTCAGTGAAGCAGCAGATCTCAGCTTTGGCTTTTAATTTCAGAACGCTTGAAGTGCCTTCATGTCCCTTAGGTGTGAGAGGGGTTACTTTGAATTTTAGGAATAAGACAACTGAAGAAAGAAATGTTTATGTTCTGTGGATTAGATAAGCTGCATGGAAACCCAAGGGCTCAGCATTCACAGCTTTGACTACCTCTTTTTCTTTGCAAGAAGCTTGAATTTTGTCCTTTAAAAACCTTGGAGGATCAGCCGGGCACGGTGGCTTACGTCTGTAATCCCAGCACTTTGGGAGACTGAGGCGGGTGGATCACAAGGTCAGGAGTTTGAGACCAGCCTGGCCAAGGTGGTGCAACCCCGTCTCTACTAAAAATACAAAAAAATTAGCCAACCTGGTGGTGGGTGCCTGTAATCCCAGCTACTCAGGAGGCTGAGGCAGAGAATTGCTTGAATTCGGAAGGTGGAGGTTGCAGTAAGCTGAGATTGTGCCACTGCGCTCCAGCCTGGGCGGCAGAGCAAGACTCTGTCTCAAAAACAAAACAAAACAAAACCTTGGAAGAAGCCAGGTATGGAGGCTGATGCCTGTAATATCAGTATAACACTTTGGGAGGCTGAGGCAGGAGGATCTGCTTGAGCTCAAGGAGTCAAGGCCAGCCTGGACAACATAACAAGACCCCATCTCTACAAAAAATAGAAATATAAGGCTGGGCGTGGTGGCTCATACCTGTAATCTCAGCACTTTGGGAGGCCAAGGTGGGCGGATCACCTGAGGTCAGGAGTTGGAGATCAGCCTGGCTAACATGGTAAAACCCCTTTTCTACTAAAAATATAAAAAATTAGTTGGGGGTGGGCGGGGTGACTGACACCTGTAATTTCAGCACTTTGGGAGGCCAAGGTGGGTGGATCACAAGGTCAGGAGTTCAAGACCAGCCTGACAAAGATCGTGAAACCCCATCTCTACTAAAAATACAAAAATTAGCCGGGCGCGGTGGCAGGCACCTGTAATCCCAGCTACTTAGGAGGCTGAGGCAAGAGAATCGCTTGAACCCAGGTGGCAGAGTTGCAGTGAGCCAAGATTAAGCCACTGCACTCCATCCTGGGTGACAGAGTGAGACTCCATCTCAAAAAAAAAAAAAAAAAGAAATTAGCCAGGAGTGGCAGCACACACCTGTAATTCCAGCTACTCAGGAGGCTGAGGCAGGAGAATCCCTTGAACCTGGCAAATCAGCCTGTGGTAAATGAGCCAGGGCAGTCAAGGCTGCAGTGAGCCAAGATTTCCCACTGCACTCCACTCTGGGTGACAGAGCAGAAAGACCCTGTCTTCAAAAAAAACCTTGGAGGACCCATGTTTATTTTCCCCATTTGTAATAGAATCCCTCTGTGGAGTTAATGTTAGTATCCAGATGCCTGCATTCATCCTCTCTGATCCAAGGGGGTAACATTACATTCCTGGTACTGCCTTCTTGGTACCTTTATCTCTGTGCTGACGTCTTCCTTGCAGAGCGCCAGTGGAACATGTGGATCCCAGGATTTGGCTCTGAAGAAATCCGACCCTACAAAAAAGCTTGCACCACGGAAGCTCACAAACAGGTGAGGAAATGATTCATTGAGCTACCTCTCAGAGCGAGTACACACAGCTACCTCCTAGGGAGTCTCACTTCCCGCACACAGCAAGCTTCACTCTGGATCAAGAGTCAGAGAGGGCAAGAGGCATAAGATACTGACTTGGTGCTGTGCTGTTCCCACATGCAGTCTGTTTTTTCTTTTAACTCTGAGGAATATCACTTAAAGATGTTAATTCTGGGTTCTTCTAATATGGATGGAGCTCACCCCATCATTCCTCGTTAATGAAATCTTCATTCTTGCTGATCACATCACCATATATGGCCCTACAAAAAGAGGGGAGGTGGCCGGGCGCGGTGGCTCAAGCCTGTAATCCCAGCACTTTGGGAGGCCGAGGCGGGTGGATCACGAGGTCAAGAGATCGAGACCATCCTGGTCAACATGGTGAAACCCCGTCTCCACTAAAAATACAAAAAATTAGCTGGGCATGGTGGTGCGTGCCTGTAATCCCAGCTACTCAGGAGGCTGAGGCAGGAGAATTGCCTGAACCCAGGAGGTGGAGGTGGCGGTGAGCCGAGATCGCGCCATTGCACTCCAGCCTGGGTAACATGAGTGAAACTCCGTCTCAAAAAAAAAAAAAAAAAAAAGAAAAGACGGGAGGTTAAAGAAACCAGAAATGTGCTGTACTTGTGCTGAGAGGTAGCATCTAGGCTGCTGTGCCGGACATTCTGGCCTCTCTCCCGGTTTTTCTTTGTTTTGGTTCCCTCTGAACAAGGAACCTAGGAGTCAGTGTGAGAATAACACTTCTGTTGTGGACCAAGTCATCCCCATCTTCAGTCAGTCCAACAGTGTTTGCCTCCCTCTGACAAGACTGTTATCCTTTCTGTCTTAATTTAAGTGGCTACTCTGATTTGAAACATGAGCTTTTTCCAAGCTTGGCAGGCACAACTAGGTAGTCCTGGTTGAGTGCCCCTGCTTCGCCATAGCCTTGTATCTCTGTAGTAGGTGTTTGTAGAGCTCACAGAGTAAGCCCTGCAAGGAAGCCACCAGTTGCCTGAATGGAAGGATTGCACTGTTCAGAAGAGAATCCCTCAAAACAATGGACTGCCACTTTGGCTCTGCTCTCAAATTAACCACTTTTCAGCCCTATTTATTTAGTCAACAAATACTATAATGTTGATAATTTGGTCAAAAAGAATAAGCAAAGCAAGTTATTAATTTGGCCTGTGGCTGGTAATAGTAAAAGAATTCAGATCATGAAACCTGTGATCTTAGTGTTTCCATGATGGGTTGTGGTAGAAGTTGTTAGTCTTCAGTTTCCCTTCATTGCAGGTCACAGGTGTGAAATGTCAGTTCACTTTGAAATTGAGGCCCTTTCCTTATTGTGTCCATCACCAGAGAAAAGCTTGGTGTTGGGGGACCCCAGAAAACACATGCTTGGCCAGGCATGGTGGCTCATGCCTGTAATCCCAGTGCTTTGGGGAGGCTGAGGCAGGAGAATCGCTTGAACTCGGGAGGCAGAGGTTGCAGTGAGCTGAGATCATGCCACTGCATTCCAGCCTGGACAACAGAACGAGATTCCATCTTAAAAAAAAAAAAAAAAAAGGAAAGATAACACATGCTTTATCGGCTTATCCTCTAAGTCCCCAAAACTCAAGAGCTGTCACTTTCTCCTGCTTTTAACTTTTTTGCCATCCTGCTAGCCTAGAGCAGTTTGGTGGATGAAATGGGTCCACTAGCCCATCTAAACATTTCTTGGGGCCTTGCAGACTGCTCTCCAGTTAGAAGGAATCTACTGAGATGCCTTGTGACTGCAGGTCTCTGAGGGCTGCAGCCTACAGTGTAGACCATGAGGCCTGCTAGCCACACAGAATGTTCCCAGAAAGCTCCTGACTCCAGCTGCTGCTGTATAACTGCTTATTTCTCTCTTCTTTCAGAGAATGGCATTGATCCGGAAAACAACCAAGAAATAACATACAGAAAGGTCAGGGAATGGACAACAATGTATTTGGAGATACTTGAGCTGAGAACTCAGCCATCTCATCCATGGATTTTTTTTTTTTTAAATGCTTTACAGAGAAGCATATATTTTTTATTAACAGTGCAGCAATATCTATAATGACTGAGAGGATCTGCCAAAAGAATAAAGCCTCCTACCCCAACTTCCGGTCCCTTTTCCCTGCCATCTCAAAGAGGAGCCGTGTATCTTCCAGAGAAGATTTTATTTGTGTTTTATTATATAAGTGACTGAATATGGGACAAAGCATTATGGTCTTTTTGGGTAAGACAGTATTAGCAGGATTTGTAAAGGGTTTTGTTTCCTTCTCCTTTCCCCTTTTCCCTGTACTTTGTAATGTCAGTGTTTATATGAATATGACTTTCATTTGCTTTTCCAGAATAAAGAAGTTATTAATCAAAAGACAGGGTACCTTTGAAATCCTAGAAGTAAGGACAAGGAAGCCTGGATTGTAGCTCTCTAGTCAGCAGGTGGCAGCACCATTATTCATTTCTGCGTTTCAGAAAAACTCGGGGATTTTCCATTACTTTACTCTAAGGGAGGCTATAACATCAATAGGAGTTTGAGCCCAGCGTCTCTGTCATAAGATTTGAATAGGGTGACCTTCTCTTATGGCCCTGAGCTGAACGAGACATCCTTGTTTTGGCAGTGTTATGTGCCTAAAACCCCTTTTTGACCTTCTGTAACCTGGAGAAAGCTGTAACCTGGCCCTGAGAAAGGATGGGAGTAGGCCTGTCCTTGGAATAGTCCTGGCTGTGCAGGTTCCCATCTCTTCGTAGTTGCTGGTATCTTTGATCCTGGTGCTTCCACCATTGTGCAGAGGCAACCAGGCCCCTTCTAGACCTCAGGGTCATGTCCTTCAGTGGTACCTAGCATTGTCCTGTCCTGGGCCCAGCATGGTCCTTGTGGATTGTGAGAGTTCTGTGGGCTCTAGGGAGCATGGCTATCCCACCCAAGGGTCACTAACACAGGCACAGCCACCTTCTGCTTTGGTCCTCTTGAGTCCTGAAGCTTGGCCCAGGATGGGACCCTGCTTTTCTTTTCTTTTTTCTTTTTTTTTTTTTTTGCCCACCTGCATCTGTCTTGATCGAGTTATAGGGACCCTGCTTTTCAAAACTCCCTCCCACCCTGGGTTAGATCTCATGTCCGCCTCTTCACAGCCTCACAGATATACCGAGTGAGCACCTCAAAGGCTGTGCTGTTACTGTTGTTCTTGGCTGAAGTTTCACTGTCCCAAGGAGGCAGCCAGCTTCTTTCCCTGTGGTGTTACTCGGTGCTCAGCCACCAGGTCACTTCTGTGGCCAACAATCAGGATGAGGGTGTTGAAGGGTTTCACTTTCTCCAGAACCTCCTGATGCCAGTGGTGACACTCAAAGGATGTTCTGTCGGTGACATCAAACAGCAAGGGGCCTCCAGCTGGGTTTCAGTAGTAGGGATAGGTCACTGACCTTGGCAGCCACGGAATCTAGAATTAGTTTTGAGATCTCCACTAAGAACAGAAGGGAACACAGGAATCGGGGAAGTTTAATGGAAAGAGCTGGGGTAGAATCAAAAGACCCCAGTTCTTGATTTGCCATGCAACAAGTAAGTGGTGTCATCTATCTCAGTCTTGGCCTGTCTGCATATTGAGGGGCTTGTTTGGGCTTGTTCATTCAGCAAGTATTTATAAGCCCCCGCCTGTGCTAAGCAAAGGAATACAATGATGAATAAAAACAGACCCAGGCGGCCAGGCACAGTGGCTCAAGCCTGTAATCTCAGTACTTTGGGAGGCCGAGGCAGGTGGATTACTTGAAGTCAGGAGTTCCAGACCAGCCTGGCCAACATGTCAAAACCCTGTCTCTGCTAAAAATACAAAAAATTAGCCGGGCAGCTGAGGCAGGATAATTGCTTGAACCTGGGAGGTGGAGGTTATAGTGAGCTGAGATTGCACTACTGTACTCCAACCTGGGTGACAGAGCCAGACTTAGTCTCAAAAAAAAAAAAAAAAAAAAGATCCAGGGGACAATCCTGTTATGTTATTAGATAAATGTAGTAACACATTTATCTAATAAATGTGTTCACAGGGCTAGGGAGGGGCATGGTCAGCTAGGGAGAGATTTTGTTTGAGCTGAGATGTGAGGGATCCACGTGAAGAGGATGGGGATCTCTTTCAAGGAGAGAAATTTGCCTGGTGTACAATCCTTGAGTTAGTGGATTGAGGTAAGCTGGACCAGGCCATGCAGTACATTGCAGATCCCAGCAAAGAGTGGCCTGTCAAAAAAGTAACAGGAGCTACTGAAGGATTTCAAGCAAAAGTGTAGTGTGTGCAGAGGCCCAGAGGTCTAATGAAGTGAGTGTGCCAGTGAGACCAAAGCATAAGATGCAAAATTAGGGGAGAGTGGCTAGAGCTGAGTGGAAAGTGAGCATGGAGTGTGGACAGCTCTCAGACTTAGTGGTGTGCACCTCACTTGGGCTTCTTTTGTTGTTTTTGTTGTTATTGTTTTGAGACAGAGTATCGTTCTTGTTGCCCATACTGGAATGCAATGGTGTGATCTCGGCTCCCCGCAACTTCTTCCTCCCAGGTTCAAGCGATTCTCCTGTCTCAGTCTCCCAAGTAGCTGGGATTACAGGCATGTGCTACCACGCCTGGTTAATTTTGTATTTTTAGTAGAGACAGAGTTTCTCCATGTTGGTCAGGCTGGTCTCGAACTCCCAGCCTCAGGTGATCCGCCTGCCTCGGCCTCCCAAAGTGCTGGGATCACATACTTGAGCCACTGCGCCTGGCCTGTTGTTTTTTGAGACAGAGTCTCACTCTCTTGCCAGGCTGGAGTGCAGTGGCACAATCTTAGCTCACTGCAACCTCCGCCTCCTGAGTTCAAGCAATTCCCCTGCCTCAACCTCCAGAGTAGCTGGGACTATAGGCGCACACTACCATGCCCTGCTAGTTTTTTTGTATTTTAGTAGAGACAGGGTTTCACCATGTTGGCTAGGCTGATCTTAATCTCCTGACCTCGTGATCTACCCACCTTGGCCTCCCAAAGTGCTGGAATTAGAAGCATGAACCACCATGCCCAGCCTCCCTTTTTTTTTTTAAACAAAAGTCTTGGCCAGGCCCGGTGGCTCACACCTGTAATCTCAGCATTTTGGGATGCTGAGGCGGGTGGATCACTTTTCCTCTTTCTCTCTCAAAGGGTTTGGAGATTTGTCTTGAGCACCTGACAGCCTCCTCTCGACAAGCTTATCTCCCAACTGATCGTCAATTTAGACCCGGGCTCCTGAACAGGGAAACCAGAAACCATAGATCAGGTCCGGCACAGTGGCTCACACCTGTAAACCCAGCACTTTGGGAGGCCAAGGCAGAAGGATTGCTTGAGCCCAGGAGTTTGAGACTGGCCTGAACAATATAGCAAGACCTTGCCTCTATTAAAAAAGAAAGAAAGAAGCCATCTTCCCTGCCCATGGACTCCACACTCAGATCTATAAATTCCTGGAAAGAGCCCAGGCCACTGTAGCCTCTATTCTGTTGCTGTTGCTATTCCTACCCCTCTACTTATCAGCTGTGAGACTTTAGACAAGCCGCTTAACCTCTCTGGGCCTGTCTCTTCATGGGTAAAAAGGAATGACTGTCTAACTTACACAGTTATTGTGAAGGTTGAATTAATATATATCAATCCCCTAGTGTGTTAGGGGCTCTTCACTTGGCTCCTCCTCCTCCACCAGGTCTCAGCTCAAGGCCATCTCCTCAGAGACGCCCTCCCTGACCACCTGCTCAAAAGGACCCCTCATCACTCCCAGTTCCCTCTCCCTGATCTGTGGTCTTCAACAGCACTTACTGCAACTGGAAATCATTCAGTTCATTTATTTACTTTTTTTTTTTTGTCTCTCTTCCACTAGAATGTCAGACCCAGGAGGGGTTTTCTGTCATGTTCACTGCTGTATCCCCAGAGATTAGAACAAAGTAGATGCTCACTTAAGAAAATTTGTGAGGCCGGGTGTGGTGGCTCACGCCTGTAATCCAAACACTTTGGAGGCCAAGGCGAGTGGATCACCTGAGGTTGGGAGTTCAAGACCAGCCTGACCAACATGGTGAAACCCCATCTTAAAAAAATAAATAATTAAAATTTATGAAACAGCTGGCACAGTGGCTCACGCCTGAAATCCCAGCATTTTGGGAGGCCAAGGCAGGCAGATCACTTGAGGTCAGGAGTTCGAGACCAGCCTAACCAACATGGTGAAACCCTGACTCTACTAAAAATACGAAAATTAGCCAGGTGTGGTGGCACACGCCTGTAGTCCCAGCTACTTGGGAGACTGAGGCAGGAGAATTGCTTGAACCCGAGAGGCAGAGGTTGCAGTGAGCCAAGATCGCACCACTGTACTCCAGCCTAAGCAACAGGGCGAGACTCTGTCTCAAAAAAAAAATTGATGGCTGGGTGTAGTGGCTCACGCCTGTAATCCAAGCACTCTGGAGGCCAAGGCGGGCGGATCACCTGAGGTCAGGAGTTCAAGACTGGCCCGGCCAACATGGTGAAACCCCGTCTTTAAAAACATTTAAAAAAAAATTGATTAAGGAGACTGGGTGCCATGGCTCATACCTGTAATCCTGGCACTTTGGGACGCTGAGGCAGGAGAATTGCTTGAGGCCAGAAGTTTGAGACCAGCCTTGGCAATATAGAGAGACCCTGTCTGTACAATAATTTTAAAAGTTGGCCGGATGCGGTGGTTTATGCCTGTAATCCCAGCACTTTAGGAGGCTGAGAGGGGCGGATCACAAGGTCAGGAGATTGAGACCATCTTGGCCAACATGGTGAAAACTGCCTCTACTAAAACAAAAAATTAGCTGGGTGTGGTGGCACATGACTGTAATCCCAGCTACTCAGGAGGCTGAGGCAGGAGAATTGCTTATACCTAGGAGGTGGAGTTTGCAGTGAGCCGAGATCGCACCACTGCAGTCCAGCCTGGCAACAGAGCAAGACTCCGTCTCAAATAAATAAATAATGATTTAAAAGTTAGCTTGGCATGGTGAAGCACATCTGTAGTCCCAGCTACTTGGGAAGCTAAGGTGAGAGGATCACATGAGCCCAGGAGGTCAATATTGCAGTGAGCTGTGATTGCACCACTGTACTCAAGCCTGGGCAGCAGTGAGACCCTGTCTCTAAAAAAAAAAAAAAAAATTGAGGCCGGGCGTGGTGGCTCATGCCTGTAATCCAAGCACTTTGGAGGGCAAGGCGGGCGGATCACCTGAGGTTGGGAGTTCAAGACCAGCCCGACCAACATGGTGAAACCTTGTCTTTATAAAAAAAAAAAAAAAATTGATGAAGGAATGAAAAGACACCCACCCTACAGAAGTAATTTCCCTCTCCTAGCCCCAGCTTTCTTAACTGTGAAATGGGGATGATTGTGCCAGCCTCACCATGTTCTCACAAGGATGAAAAAGGATTTTTTTTTTTTTTTTTTGAGACGGAGTTTTGCTCTTGTTGCCCAGGCTGGAGTGCAATGGCTAGATCTCAGCTCACTGCAACCTCCGCCCCGTCCCAGGTTTAAGCAATTCTTCTGCCTCAGCCTCCAGAGTAGCTGGCATTACAGGCATGCGCCACCATGTCCGGCTGATTTTTTTATTTTTTATTTTTAGTAGAGACGGGATTTCTCCATGTTGGTCAGGCTGATCTCAAACTCCCGACCTCAAGTGATCAGCCCACCTCGGCCTCCCAAAGTGCTGGGATTACAGGCAGAAGCCACCTTGCCTGGCCAATAAGGATGTTTTAAAAAGGAGGCAAGTCATTTGCAACAACATGGATGGAACTGGAGGAAACTATAAGTAAAAGCCAGGCACAGAAAGACAGACTTCTCACATTCTCACTTACTTGTGGGAGCTAAAAATTAAAACAATTGAACTCATAGAGATAGAGTAGAATGATGGTGACCAGAGGCTGGGAAGGGTAGTGGAGGGGGGAGTGGGTATGGTTAATGGGTACAAAAATATAGCTTTTATTTATTTTATTTTTTTTGAGACAGAGTCTCACTCTATCGCCCAGGCTGGAGTGCAGTGGTGTGGTTTCGGCTCACTGTAGCCTCCGCCTCCTGGGTTCCAGCGATTCTCCTGCCTCAGCCTCCAGGGTAGCTGGGATTATAGGCGCCTACCACCACGTCTGGCTAATTTGTGTATTTTTAGTAGAGACAGGGTTTCACCATGTTGGCCAGGCTGGTCTCAAACTCCTGATCTCAGGTGATTCACCCTCCTCAACCTCCCAAAGTGCTGGATTATGGTTGTGAACCACTGCGTTCAGCCAAAAATAAAGTTACATAGAATGAATAAGATCTAGCATTTGATAGATCTTATTAAAAACAGGGTTACTACAGTCAACGATAATTTATTGTACTTTTAGAAATAAAAGAGTATAAACTGGATTGTTTGTAATGCAAAGAAAATATAAACCTTTGAGGCAATGGATACTCCCCACCCTCACAAAATAGAACAGGTGCATTTTATGGGTTTAAAAAAAAAAGAGGCAGGACCAAGTGCACAGAAAGACCTCCTCAGCCCCATCTCCATGGGGAGGAAGCTAAGAAACTCACTCTGATTGAAAACCTTCTAAGAACCCTAGGAAGGAGGGATTATCAGTCTCGTGTTACTGACTGAGGAGGAAACTGAGGCTCAGGGAGACCGAGTAACTAACCCAAGGTCACAAAGTGAGTTAAGCGACTATGCTTTTATTTATTTATTTTTGAGCCGTGGTATTGCCCTGTCGCCTGTGTTGGAGGGTTGGAATGCATGGCTCGCTGCAACCTCTGCCTTCTGGGTTCAAGCGATTCTCATGCCTCAGCCTCCTGAGTAGCTGGGATTACAGGTGTGAGCCACCATGCCTGGCTTATTTTTGTATTTTTAGTATAGACGGGGTTTAGTCATGTTGGCCATGCCATGGCTAGGTCTCAAACTCCTGACCTCAAGTGAACTGCCCGACTGGGCTTCCCAAAGTGCTGGTATTACAAGCGTGAGCCACTGCACCTGACCAAGTGGCTGTGCTTTCTGCTACAGCACAATGATACCCACTAAGCCCTACACCTGCTGAGATTCTGCCTAACATAAACAGCGTCTCTTCTACGAAGCCCACCCTAATTGCTCCCAGGACATTTCCTGCCTAGTAGTCCCCCATTGTAGGCTAGGTTGCCAGGAGGCAGATTTCGAGATGGAGACAAGTGTGCAGATGTTTATTAGGGGATATTCTTGAGAATACCTGTTTTGGGGAAGGAAGAAAGGGAAGCAGGATTGGGCAGCGGGATAACTTGGCTGTGATGTTGTCACAACAGTGTCCTCAATGAAGCCCACAGAGACTGATAAAGTTGGGTTTGACTTTCAGAGCTAGGGCAAGAGGGCAAGGCCTTTAAGGCCCCCCAATGTAGATGGATGTTGGATATGGGCTGCCCTGAGGGGCTAGCCTTTCCCAGAAAGTGCTGCAAGCGGAAGTCATCATCCAGTGGTAGCAGCTGGGGAGAGGGTTGATGGGTTCCTCAGCCAGGAAGGGGGATCTTGGTGGCTCATCATAGTGGCCACTCTGTGCCCAACATAATTGCTGCACATTCATGTTCATCCCAGCCTCCAACATCCATTTCCATTCAGCCCCTGGGCCTGGGGTGGGGGCATTGGCCAGCAACCCTGGGTTTGACATCACATATTAATTCCATGGCCAGAATCATTTTAGCCTGAGGACCTAAGGAGGCTCCAAGCCAAGCTCCCCTTGGAATTTTCCGCACCTGCCTTTGCCCATGCAGCAGCTTCCTGACGCTGGCTTCTGTGTCTAAGCCCAGGAATGCTGCCAGAGTAGCCACATTGCAGCCAAGAAAGAGAGTGGGGGCCGGGTGTGGTGGCTCACACCTGTAATCCAAGCACTTTGGAGGCCAAGGCGGGCGGATCACCTGAGGTCAGGAGTTCAAGATCAGCCCGACCAACAAGATGAAAAAAAAAAAAAGACAGAGTGGGAATGAGAGCTTTTGTCATGCAATTAATAGCGTGGCAGGCTCTGGGTGAGCATACCGTGGCCACTATCTCATTCATGGCCACCACCTCCCTGCAAGGCGAGATCTTTTACAAGCCCCATTGACAGATAAGGACATTGAGGCTCAAGGACTTGCATATCTGGTCTCTCAGACCTTTTTTTCTTCTTTTCTTTCTTTTTTTTTTTTTTTGAGACAGAGTCTTGCTGTCACCCAGGCTGGAGTGCGGTGGTGTAATCTCAGCTCACTGCAATCTCTGCCTTCTGGGTTCAAGCGATTCTCTGCTGAAGACCCCAAGAATGTGGGGCGTGACCAACTCAATATACCTCTGGCGGCTATAGGAGTAAACAGCAAACTCCTCATGAAAGCAGGATGTCAAACTGACAAACTGTGTATGGCTAGAAGGAATGTTGAGGGCAGTCACGCGCCAGGTCCCGTCCTCCTTGAGGCTATCTACCTGAACATCTGGAACCTGCTGGACCTATGATAAATCAAGTAGCTGACCACGAAGGGCTGTAAAAGCTCAGGGCCTTTGTTCACTAGAAGCAAAGAGTCCCCTGACCCCTTCTTTCAAACAGAACCTTTTGTCTTTTTCTTAGTCCTCCTTGGTTCATGAGATAACTAAGGCAATTCTGCCTCAGCCTCCCGAGTAGTTGTGCTTACTGGCATGTACCACCACGCCTGGCTAATTTTTGTATTTTTAGGAGAGACGGGGTTTCACCATGTCGGCTAGACTGGTCTCAAATTCCTGACCTCAGGTGATCTGCCCAACAAGCGTGACCCACCCCACCCAGCCATCAGACCTTTCTTTTCTGTAGAAAGCATTGACTCCAAAATCCAGGAAGCATGACTGTATCAAGATACTGTTTATATGAGCCCTTCTGTCATTTGTCCTCCAGAGAGATACTAACATTCCCATCCCATCATGTGGGCTGAGGCTGGGACTGCTTTAACCCTTTCTCTCCTAGAGTCAGCACTGGCATGGCCCTGGGTGCTGGTTCCTGCTGGGGGACCTGGGGATTTGGGTCTTGTGGATGAGCCGGACACCCCCCCAGCCTTCTTCTAGCTTAATGTCCCCCTGCTGCAGGGCCTGCTGGATAGCATCAGCGAGGGTGTCAAAGGCCAGGTCCACGTTGCAGTTGTTTTTAGCTGAGGTCTCCACGAAGGCCATGCCCAGGGAGGCAGCCAGCTCCTTGGCCTCCTGGGCTGAGACACAGCGGGTGCTCTGCAGGTCACTCTTGTGGCCAACCAGCAGGAAGATCACCTTGTCCGGGCCCTGAGTGGCCATGACCTCCTTGTGCCAGTCTTGGATGTGTTCAAAGGACTTCCTGTTTGTCACATCAAAGACCAGCAGGACACCCACCACGTTCCGGTAAAAGGACCTGGGGAGGCACCTGGGGAGGCAGGGAGGCAGGAGGTAAGCTGGGAGAGGCTGTCACCTTCAAGACACCCCTAGAGGCAGGACCTCCTCCCCCTGGGAAACACAGAATGCCTCACACCCCATCAGGGCCCACTTCACCCGGCCCCTGTGCTTCTCTGCCTCGGTGTCTGTGTCTCTCCTAAAAGTCTGGGTGCTCCCCAGTTAGAGGGCAAGCGTGACCCGAGTCCCTCATGCCTGGTGGAGGCCTGGTGCTGCCCTGGCCTCGGTCTTCATTTCTCTTCCTGGCAAACTGCTGATCCTTCAGAGTCAACACAAACCTCTGTCCCTTCAACATCCTCCCGGCACTTCCCGCCCTGCGCCCTTGAGCTCTCAGCACCCGGGCCAGTATCACTCAGCATCTCTCTAGAGTCCAGAGCTCAACGCAGGGATGTTCCAGGGCTCTGGGCCTCGGCCCACCCCAAAGTGTTCGTGGGAAGAAGGACTCCGAGCAGGGGAGGGTCTGGCATCAGCGCACCAGGCTGGACCCAGGGCAGGGACCCCGCCCTCCGCTTGATCTCCTGGGGGTGCCGCGGCCCAGCGCACCAGCACCGAGCCCCCCACCAGGAGTCCCTCCCGCACCCCTGCCGCCCGCACCTGAAGCGCTCCTGGCCCGCGGTGTCCCAGAGCTGCAGCTTGACCCGCGGCCCGGCCCGCAGCTGCAGCGCGTGGCGGTAGCACTCGGCGCCCACCGTGGGCTCGGGCTCGGGCTCGGGCTCCTGGGCGCCAGGCGCGCCCGCCACATAGCTCCGCAGCAGCGACGTCTTGCCCACCGCCGCGTCCCCCAGCAGCGCGACCCGAAACTGGTAGCGGCAGCCCTCGGTCTCCATGGCCACGTTCCCCGCCCCGCCGCCCCACGGCAGTTTTGTCCGCGCCCTGCCCCGCCCCCTGCCCGGGGCCCCGCCGGCGCCGCCCCCCTCTCCCCGCGCCCTGCCCTCGTCCCTGGCGGGGCACCTGGGAACCCGGGACGTCTTCAGCACAGGTGGAGAAGTGCCATTTCCACTCGATCCGAGGGCGTCGGACCGAGTGGAAACACTTGGCCAAGTTTCTCTCTCTCTGAGCCTCACTTGCCTCCTCCGTTAAAGGAGGCTAATGATGACCCCCTACACTTCACTGAAGTATACTAGATGAAGGTGGGGAGCAGAGGGAGGAGGCTAACAGCGCTAAAGCATCCATCTCACTTTCCTTCACTCTCCAGCCCCACCCCGTTATCCGCTCCACCCCGCCCGCTGTGGATTCCCTAGTTGGCCCCCACCCCTCTGCTGCACCCAGGAAGGCCACTCTGGAAGTGGGTGGTTTGTAGGTGCTCCCTCTCCACCCCGAAGCCCTTTCCTGGAGCCCTCATTGGCCCTGGCCTGGGGCCTCTAGTTCCAAGTGCAGGTTCAATGTTCAACAGCCCCCGCGGCTTCCTCCGTGGCTGCGTTGGACACCAGGGCCCCAGAAGGAACTTGGGCAGAGTCTGTTGAGGAGGCAGGACAGACACACACAACTGCAATTCTAAAAGGAGTGAAGTTGGCGTGTGGATTTGACAACTAACATATATAAGGCCAAAGGTCAGTTCATGTTTTGTGGGCAGCAACCCTTTGACAGGGCCATGGAGTGCCCCTTTTAGAGCTGAGAAGACAGGTTCAGAGGCATGGCTTGTCCCAGGTCACACAGCAGAGCTGGGGCTCACATTCAGGTTTGTCTCATCCTTCATCACACCCTTGATGCCACAAAAGGGGACAAGGCAGGTCCCATGAGAACTAAGACACTGGTTGAGTCTTGCTTGGGTGAGGGGCTAGGGTAAGGCAGCACATGAGCCACCAAGGTTTACTCCACCCTTTCCAGGCTGGCCTTCTGGAAAACCAGAGCAATGAGCCTGGAGTTCCAGCCAGCCCCAGACAGCTCTAGTCTCTCTCGTCTTTTTTTGTTTGTTTGTTTGAGACGGAGTCTCACTCTGTTACCAGGCTAGAGTGCAGTGGCACAATCTTGGCTCACTGCAACCTCCACCTCTTGGGTCCAAGCCATATGCCTACCTCAGCCTCCCAAGTAGCTGGGATTACAGGCCCTACCACCACACCCAGCTAATGTTTGTATTTTTAGTAGAGACTGGGTTTCACCATGTTGCCAGGCCAGTCTCAAACTCCTGACCTCAAGTGATCTGCCTGCCTCGGCCTCCCAAAGTGCAGGGATTACAGGTGTGAGCCACTATGCCTGGCCCACACGCAGTTCTGACCACCTGTGATGTCAGTCTCTCTTCTACCCTGCAGGCTTCTTGAGGGTAGGGACTATGATTGTATCCTTAGGGCCGAACGCGGTGCTTGGCATAAAGTAGAAACTCAAGTTGGCGCATGGCTCACACCTGTAATCCCAGCACTTTTGGAGGCTAAGGTGAGCAGATCACTCGAGGTCAGGAGTTTGAGACCAGCCTGGCCAACATGGTGAATGAAACCCTGTATCTACTAAAAATACAAAATTAGGCATGGTGGTGGCCACCTGTAATTCCAGCTACATGGGAGGCTGAGGTAGGAGAATCGCTTGAACCTGGGAGGTGGAGGTTGTAGTGAGCCGAGATCACACCACTGCACTACAGCCTGGGTGACAAAGCAGGACTCCATCTCAAAACTAAATAAATAAATAAAGTAACTCAGTAAAAATTTATAGCTAGATGAATTAAAGAAAGTGGATAAGTGCTGTTCATTCATCCATCCATTCATTGAAACACCATAATAGAGCTGGAATGAGGAAGCCAAAGGGTCAGAGAAGCCCATCCCAGCTGATACTGAAGCTGGGTCTCCGTGGATACGTGGGATCTGGGAAGGTCAAGCAGAAAGGAGACTCCAGAGAGGCACAAAGTAGCTGGAAATGCAGTCTGACCCCAGCCCTCCCTGAGGCCTTTCTGGTCAGCCCACGTGGGCAGTGCACTGTCAGCATCTGGCTTCTTGAACTTCCTCCCTCTTTCAGATGTTCCTACTGGGATCATGTGTCTGCCTCTGACTGCAATTAAATCCAGATGTCAGCTGACCTCTGCCACAGATTCACTGTGTAATCTGGGGTAAGTTATTTCGCTTCCCTGATCCCTGCTTCCTCTTCATTTAAGTGAGGCAAATCACGGTACCCACCACACAGGGTAAGTTCTGGAGGAGCCTCCAGACACAGCAATTAAGTTTATCTGCTTTTGCATTAGAACAGATCTGAGGCCGGGCGCGGTGGCTCAAGCCTGTAATCCCAGCACTTTGGGAGGCCGAGGCGGGTGGATCACGAGGTCAAGAGATCGAGACCATCCTGGTCAATATGGTGAAACCCCGTCTCTACTAAAAATACAAAAAAAATTGGCTGGGCATGGTGGCGCGTGCCTGTAATCCCAGCTACCCAGGAGGCTGAGGCAGGAGAATTGCCTGAACCCAGGAGACGGAGGTTGCGGTGAGCCGAGATCGCGCCATTGCACTCCAGCCTGGGTAACAAGAGCGAAAACTCCGTCTCCAAACAAAAAAAATAAAAAAAAATAACAATGCCAACAGATATGAGTTGGGCCCAGGGCGGTGACTCACGCCTGTAATTCCAGCACTTTGGGAGGCTGAAGCGGGTGGATCACGAGGTCAAGAGATTGAGATCATCCTGGCCAACATGATGAAACCCCATTTCTTAAAAATAACAAAAATTATCTGGGCTTGGTGGCACAAGCCTGTAATCCCAGCTAATCAGGAGGTTGAGGCAGGAGAATTGCTTGAACCTAGGAGGCAGAGGTTGCTGTGAGCTGAGCTTGTGCCACTGCACTCGTCTGGCATTCCATCTCAAAAAAAAGAAAAAAAGAAAAGAAAAAAAAAGAAAAAGAAAAGAACAGATTTGGATTGTAGTTCCAATGGCCACTTGCTGGTTATATGAACCTGGGCCAAGTTTTATTCATTCATTTATTCACTTGGTGATTATTTCAAGAATGCTGGCCATCTTTTACGTACCAGGCATTTATACAGCAGTAGAGGGGAAAAAAGACAAAATCCCAGCTCTCTTGAGATGCTGACATTCTAATAGCGAAAACAAAATACATACAAAATACCATGTCAGGAAGCATTAAGTGCTATAAATAACAATCAAGCAGGCAGTGACTTGAAGGTTGGAGGATGGCGGGGTTACTGTATCAAAATAGGATGGCCTGAGGAGGTGGCATGTGGGCAGAAACCCAGGAGAAGTGAGGCAGTAAGAAGTGTGGGTGTCTGTGATGATATTCAGGTGGGGTGAGTTCCAGGCAAGAGAAGCAGCAAGAGCAAACGATCTCGAGTGCTCCGAGAAGAGCAAAGAGTCCAGGGAGATGGAACCGACTGACTGAGGGAGCACATGGTGGGTGATGAGAGCAGTGAGGAGGAGAAGCCTGATTATATGTGGCCTTGGAGACCATTACGGGGATTTCCATTTTTATTCTAAGTGTGTTGGGAAGTCATGGGAGATTTCTGAGCAGGCAAATAACATGACATAAGTGTTTTTTTAGGCTGGGCATGGCGGCTCAGGCCTGTAAGCCCAGCACTTTGGGAGGCCGAGGCAGGAGAACCACCTGAGGTTGGGAGTTCAAGATCAGCCTGACCAACATGGTGAAACCCCATCTCTACTAAAAATACAAAAAATTAGCCGATCTCAGCTCTCGGTAACCTCTGCCTCCCAGGTTCAAGCGATTCTTGTGCTTCAGCCTCCCAAGTAGCTGGGACTATAGATGTGTGCCACCATGCCCAGTTAATTTTTTTTTTGTATTTTATTATTATTTTAATAATAGAGACAGGGTTTCACCATGTTGGTCAGGCTGGTCTCGAACTCCTGACCTCAGGTGATCCACCCGCCTTGGGCTCCCAAAGTGTTGAGATTACAGGCGTGAGCCACCGCGCCCGGCTTTTTTTCTCTTTTTTGTATTTTTAGTAGATATGGGATTTCGCCATGTTGGCCAGGCTGGTCTCTAGTTCCTGAAGTCAGGTGATCCACCAGCCTTGACCTCCGAAATTGGTAGGATTACAGGCCTGAGCCACTGTACCCCCCCAGCGGATATACATTTTTTCTTATGGGTTTTTGTTTTTTATGAGACCGAGTTCCACTCTTGTTGCCCAGGCTGGAGTGCAATGGTGCAATCTCGGCTCACTGCAACCGCCGCCTCCCGGGTTCAGGCGATTCTCCTGCCTCAGCATCCCGAGTAGCTGGGATTACAGGCGTGCGCCACCGCGCCTGCTAATTTTGTATTTTTAGTAGAGACAGGGTTTCTCCACGTTCGTCAGGCTGGTCCCGAACTCCGCACCTCAGGTGATCCGCCTGCCTCGACCTCCCGAAGCCACGGCGGGTCGGCTTCCTGCGTGGGCCCGGCGCCTGGTACGGAAAGGTGAAGGCACTTCTACCCGCCTGCAGGAAAGCCTCTAGCGGTTCGCGCTTCGCGGGCTCGGGCCGGACACGCGCGCGTAAGGCTGGGGAGGTGACGCGCGGACAACGCCAGCGCGAGCGAACTACGACTCCCAGCCAGCTGTGCGCCACGCGCGCGCCCGACCGTCAGGCGGGGCGCGAGGGGCAGCCTATATAAGCCCTTGTCTGCGGAAGCACCACCCTTTCTCCCAGCTGCAGTGCCTGTGTGCTGGTTTGTCAACCTGTAGCCCCTTCCTGCTGCCCTGCGCGCCCTTCCCCGCTTAGTCATCGCCGCTACCAGCCCGCACTCGCCGGGACTTTCTCCCAAGGCCTCGGGATGGTAGTGAACGTGGCACGGAGGAGCCGGGCCTTCCCACCCTGTGGGCTTGAGCTCCAGAAGGCTCCCTCGGCCGTGAGAGGGGCTTGGGGTCGCTCCCTTCTCTCGCCTCTGCCTCCGCAAAGCTGCGCTCTGGGCTGACAGGTGAGTGTTGTGGGTAGGCGGTCGGGTGCACGGAAGGGGTGGGGGGCTTGGGAACCGGGCTCCTGGGGGATGTAGGGACGAAGCCCTGGGCCTTAATTTGGGGGAGGCTGCATGCTGGTGTCAGGATGGCCTCTAATGGAATCTGTGATAGTTACCAGCTAGGTGACTTTGGGGCTGGTGACTACGCGAGAGGCCTCTGGAGGTCACCCTCGTGGACACGGTTTTCAGGGACGGGTTTTAGGCATTCAGACCCTTGTTTGCATCCCAGCTTCTTGCTTTCAGCCTTCCTAAGTGACTAAGCGACCTCCAGTAAGTAAGTTAATCGGTCTAAACCTCTTATCTGTAATAGAGGTATAAAACCATCCCATTAAGATGAAATGAGAAGAAGCACACCAAAGATTGGCACAGCGTGGTCGGTGGGGCCTGCAGGATGACTGTTGACTTTTGTGGCCTACAGAGTTCCCGGCGTACTTCAGGTAGTAATGATGGACAGGTGAGGCCTTAGGTGGCTGCCCTGGGACCTGAATTGCCCCTTGGCCCTTATCGAAGCTGCAGCTGCTTCCGCATAGCTGCTGCGGTCAAAAAGGAGCCCAGAGTGACAGTTTTCCTTGACGGTCGCCGTTCTGTTTGTTGTAACTGATCTGCAACATTTTGGGAAAAGACAGTTCCATTGTATCTGCCATCTTTCAGCTGTAGCCAGAGAGACCTTTATCAAAATGGGCATGTTTCCACAGACCAGCAGAAAGGTTGGGGGGTTGCATGTACAGTTAACCAGCATAACACTCATATTGGGAAAGTCCAGTTGGGATGTGACACAGCTTAACTGATAGCTTAAGGCATCAGTAATAGGGACCAAAGGTTGGTCAGACTTTTATGATTCTGAGAACCAAATGGTGGGAACAGTAAGATTGATCATGGCAACTGTTCTCATTCTGCTGTTCCAGATGAAGACTCTAAGATGACAGAAGTTGATTTTTCTGGTGATCAAGGGCTCCCAGAGCCATGAGAGTGATGAAGTGCAACCATTACAGGACCTGGTAGGTTTCTTTTGGAGACTTACTTTGGGGGCTGCCTGGTGGGACAAAACAGCATGTTTCCAAGGGCTGTGGCTGGTTGTAGCCATGGGATCTCCAACTGCATGCAAGAGCAACCTGGAAAGACTTTGACAGCACAGGTCAGTAAATACCTGCAGCTGCCACTCGGCTTTCCTATAGTTTTCAGGACCAGGGCTGGAAGTCTTCCACTTGTCATCTTCATGTAGACGGGTGTGTTGAATCAACTTCTTGGTTTGGAGTTTTTTTTTTTTTTCGACCCAGAGTACTGGGGGCTGGAGGATAAAGTTTTCTATAGATATGGCATCCTTTCTCCAACCCTGGATGGTGTGTTTTTTTTGTGGTGGTGGTGGTGTTTTTGAGCTTCACCCAGGCTGGAGTGCAGTGGCGATCACTGCAACCTCCGCCTCCCGGGTTCAAGTGATACTCCTGCCTCAACCTCCCTAGTAGCTGCCGGGCTGATTTAGAGTTTTCACACTAAGCTTTTTGTTCTACAGGTTGCCCCAAGTTTGCTGGCAGTGTGATACTGAGGAGATCAGCTTTTTTATGGAGCTGTGCTTTAAGGTAAAGTTGATGTGGAACAACACATCAGGAGCTTAGTCCTCCTGTACCCTTTCCCATCAGATCTGAACGTTGGTCTTGGTGGTCGTAAAAGGAGGAAAACTAATACTGAAGCTGCCCTCAATGTTGTAATCTGGTATATAGCATGTGGGCTAGTTTCAAACAGGTTCATAGCTGGTTGGGTCTCTGAAATTGTAAAATGAAGTATAATCTTTGGGTAAGGGAAGGATGCGTGTGAAGCTCTGCAAGTTGGTATAGTAATTGCTGACCTATTACTGCATTTGGGAGGGATCTGTCATAGCTTTCTTGCCTCTTAAGGTTGTGTCACTTTTTTCTTGTAGATTGATGTTACGCATAAAGCTGTCCTTATTTGTGACTATGGACCCTATGGAGTTGGGTAAGTTGGTGACAACCTGAAACTTTCTCACAACTTTGCTTGTAGCTTCAGGTAGTGCTCAACTATCAGGGATCCTGTCCTAAGTACTCAAGCAAATAGAACCATAAGGTTACTCAGGTCTGTCAGTGTTAAGGCCTTTTATTTTTTGAGACAAGATATTCCTGTTTCTCAGGCTTGAGTGCAGTGGTGTGATCTTGGCTCACTGCAACCTTTGCCTCCCAGGTTCAAGTGTTTCTCCTGCCTCAGCCTGCCAAGTAGCTGGAACCATTAAGTATGCACCACCATGCCTGGCTAATTTTGTATTTTTAGTAGAGTTTTGCCATGTTGGCCAGGCTGGTCTTAAACTCCTGACCCCAAGTGATCTGCCTGCCTTGACCTCCCAAAGTGCTGGGATTACAGGTGTGAGCCACTGTGCCAGGCCAGAAAATCTTAGCATTTTAGTAACATTTACATCTGGCCTTCTTTGTGTACCCTGTTAACTGTTCATTACCAGAGGGGCAAAGAAATGCTTACATTATGATTTGCCCACCCTAAAATGCATGACCACATGCTCAAAGTTGAAGGCAGCAGAGGGAACGGCTCTGCACTGCAGGCCACAGGGCCTGGTAGCGGCAAATGTGCTACCAGGACTTCAACTTCTCTCAGCCTCAGGGAGAGCTGGGAAATAGACTGTGGGGTAGAAACAAGGGGTTCCATCTAGCACACGCTGTATTTATTTAGAATGACTGGTCCAGGATGAAACCTAATCTGAGTGGACATCCATGGATGAGAAATGCGGATATGGGACTGAGACCAGCTCCTAGGAAAATGTCTGGGTGCAGGAAATCTGGGAATTACTAACACAATGGCTTACACTTCCTTTTCAGGAGAACATGGGAAGCAGAAGTCAAGACCCTGGTCATTTTAGGTGGGAACAGCGGCATGTTCTAGGTGGAGACTTGTTTTTTTGCTAATGCAAAAAATTATGTAGTGTGCTACTGAACTTAAGAGGTGATCAATAAAAGACTCTAGAAGTATGTTTGTCTTTGTGTATTTTGTAGAAACCAAGTCTGGTCTCTCTCAAGCTCAAGCAATCCACCGCCCAAATTGCTGGGGTAATAGGCATGAGCCAGCATGCCTAGCCCTTAAGATCTTTGGAGGGTTTTTTTTTTTTTTTTTGAGACGGAGTTTCGCTTTTGTTACCCAGGCTGGAATGCAATGGCGTGATCTCGGCTCACCGCAACCTCCGCCTCCTGGCTTCAAGCAATTCTCCTGCCTCAGTCTCCCGAGTAGCTGCGACTACAGGCATGTGCCACCATGCCCAGCTAATTTTTGTATTTTTAGTAGAGACAGGACAGGGTTTCACCATGTTGACCAGATGGTCTCAATCTCTTGACCTCGCGATCCACCCGCCTCGCCTCCCAAAGTGCTGGGATTACAGGCGTGAGCCACCGGGCCCGGCCTCTTTGGAGGCTTTTTATGATCTAGGATCAATGCTTTGCCTCAAGCAGGGGCCAGCAAGTGTCTTGTGTACTGCACATGGAAAATGCAGTTTTCCCATTTACTCGGGAAACACAGAAGGAACCAGCATAAGGTTCACATGAAGGTCTGCTTTGGCTTTAAGCTATCTTGGTCAACTTAATCCTTTCTAAGCTGCCTTTTCCTGTATCAAACTATTGATTCCCTAAGGTGATCCAGGCCTTATAAGTGGAGATGCTGCAACTCATGAAAATAGGCTAGACCCATTCTTGGAGCAAGTATCAATTTTTTTTTTTGAGACACTGTCACCAGGTGCAGTCCTCACCTCCCAGCTTCAAGCCACCATGCCCAGCCCAGCTAACTTGTATTTTTAGCACAGATGGGGTTCAACATGTTGGCCAGGATGATCTCAATCTCTTGATCTGCCCGCCTGTCTCCGAAAGTGCTGGGATTTTAAGTGTGAGCCAACCACGCCTGAGCTAGTATGAAGTCTTAAACCAACTGGCCTGCTCCATCACACCCACCACATTCTATGTCCTAGGGGCATGCTCCCACCCCTGCTACAGTGCCCTTTCTACCTAGCTGCCAGACCTGTGACAAGTTTGTTAGGACTCTAAAATGCAGCAGGTACTACAGATGCTCCAGAGAACCTTGATTTACATACCTGTCAACTGAGAAGCCTCTAACCCAGGCTTTAGTGTTTGAATCATCCCAAGATGCTCGTCCCAGTTTTGGGTAATCCCAAACTGTCCTATGTCCAGAAGTGTGGATAACTGCCTGGACAAAGATTTCTTGTGAAGGAAAGCAATTTGAACCTTGTTTGTTTAAAAGTTGTTCCCTTGATCTTCAAATGGTCAAATGAATGCAGCAGTGATGCAGAAATATTCATAATCTCCAGAAACAGTCATTATTAAAATCTTACAAATCATATTTCCAAAAAGTTTTAACAATTTTTTTTTTTTTTTTGAGATGATGGCGTCTCACTGTCGCCCAGGCTGGAGTGCAGTGGCGTGATCTTAGTTCATGCAGCCTCTGCCTCCAGGGTTCAAGCAATTCTGCCTCAAACCTCCCACGTAGCTGGGATTACAGGCGTGTGCCACCACACCCAGCTAATTTTTGTTTTTTCTTTTTTTTTTTGTAGAGACGGGGTTTCAACAAATTGGCTAGGCTTATCTCCAACTCCTGAACTCGTGATCTGCCTGCCTCGGCCTCCCAAAGTGCTGGGATCACAGGCATGAGCCACTGCACCTGGCTTTTTTAAAAGGAGTCTCTCATCTCATGTCATGCAGCCTGGCTTGTCCTTTGGCCTAGCTACATCATGGCAGGGATCTCTGAAGACACTGTGTCCAGGGGCTGCCAGTGACAGTCCATCAGAGCATCATACAGCTCCTCACTCTGTTCCATGAACTCCTTGTTGGCCTCAGTCACATCCAGCTGTGGCATGGGGTCTGAAAAAAAACACCAAGAATGGGGGTCAGGGAATGCTAGGGGCAGCTGCAAGGGACCTGGGTCAGCTCCCTTCTTCCAGAACTCTGTTCTATGGTAAGGTCCCTATCCTGCCAGTTTCTTTTAGGAAATGAAACCACTGCCTTGCAGGGTTCTGGGGAAGATGAAAATAGGAAAATATATCTAGAGAATGGAGAAATGGCAGCTGTTAGCCTACATCTATTAAAAGCTACACCTGTGTCTGGCCACCATTTATCCTGGATTTTCTGGTCTTGTCCTCACTTCAAATTTTGGTTTAGAAGGTCTAATCAAAGTTATTAAGTCCAGAGCATCATCTCAAGACTTGACTGGGGAGTTGCTAGGTTCAATGGGAGGCTTTATTAATGCAGTGGTAGAGCATAAAGTCCAGGGCGGGATTGGACTGCAGGGATTCTAAGACTGACTCCACCTCCTGTTATTATGTTGTACTTTGCAACTATGTTGACCTGTTTGTTTTGTGTTTTTGGGGACGCAGCCTCAGTTGCCCAGGCAAGTACAGCCCTGTAAACACTGCTCACTGCACTCTCAACCTCTCAACCCCCGGGGCTCAAGGGATCCTGCCACCTCACCCTCCTGAATAGCTGGGACTACGGGTGTGTGGCACCATGCCAGGTAATTTTTGTACTTTCTGTAGAGATAGGGTCTCAATATGTTGCCCAGGCTGGTCTTGAACTCTGGGACCCAAGAGATCCTCCCACCTTTGCTTCCCAAAGCTATGCTGACCCTGAATGAGAACTAACTTAGGTCAGCTTTCTATTCTACAAAATCAGGATAACTGTGGAATTTACCTCTAGATTGTTCTGAAGATTAAATGACTTAATATATGTCAACTGCTTACAACAGTGCCTTGCATATAGTAAAGCTTCAATAACTATTAGCTACTACTGATAACTGCTTTTGGCTCAGTATTCTTTACTGCCTAATGGGAATTGGAATGGTACCTATCCATCCTGATAGCTGAGAGATAACAGTGCATGGCATAAAATACATTGGCCATATAGGCCAGGCACAATGGCTCATGCCTGTAATCCCAGCACTTTGGGAGGCCAAGGCGGGTGAATCACTTGAGGTCAGGCGTTCAAGATTAGCCTGACCAACATGGGGAAACCCATCTCTACTAAAAATACAAAATTAGCTGGGCATGGTGGGACATGCCTGTAATTCCAGCTACTTGGGAGGCTGAGGCAGGAGAACTGCTTGAACCCAGGAGGTGGAGGTTGCAGTAAGCTGAGATCGTGCCATTGCACTCCAGCCTGGGCACCAAGGACAAAATTCCATCTCAAAAAAACAACAACAACAACAAAAAAAAAAACCAGGGTCTGGCATGGTGACTCACACCTGTAATCCCACCCAGCACTTTGGGAGGCCAAGGAGAACGGATCATGAAATTAAGAGATGGAGACCATCCTGGCCAACTTAAGCCAACATGGTGAAAACCCCATCTCTACAAAAAATACAAAAATTAACTGGGCATGGTTTCACCCGCCTGTAGTCCCAGCTACTCCGGACGCTGAGGCAGGACAATCGCTTGAACCTGGGAGGCAAAGGCTGCAGTGAGCTGAGATCGAGCCACTGCACTCTAGCCTGGTAGTAGAGCAAGGCGCCATCTCAAGAAGAAAGAAAGAAGAAAAAAAAAGGATGAAAAAGAGATTGGAAAATTCTAAGGACTTATATACGGATATTATAATTAGGCTAATTATCTCTAGAAAGAAGGTAGTGTCTCCTGGACGAAAAGAGCTAGAGGCTTGAGTATAAAAATAAAAAGACTGACTGTCCTGACTGCCCCACACTGTGTGACCCTCAGCAGATTACCTGGGCTTTCCAAGCCACTAGTTCCCCATCTGTGAAGTGGAGCTCCTACATCCTTCCCAGACCACCTGACATGGTCACCACAGTTGGCATCCCCATGAAATGACGTGAAAGTAACTTAAAACATTATGAATTAGGCAAGTTTGTTCATGGTCTGAAAGTGATCTGTTTCCTTTAATAAACATTTTCTTGACCTAAAACATTTTCCCTATGACTTCTCTTGAAGAATAATCCTCAAAATAGATTTCAAACTTTAAGTCTTTTGACTGGGTGCAGTTGGCCAGCACTTTGGGAGGCCAAGGCGGGCAGATCACCTGAGGTCAAGAGTTTTCAGACCAACCTGACCAACATGGAGAAACCCTGTGTCTACTAAAAATACAAAATTAGCTGGGTGTGGTGGCGCATGCCTGTAATCCCAGCTACTCAGTAGGTTGAGGCAAGAGAATGGCTTGAACCTGGGAGGTGGAGGTTGCAGTCAGCTGAGATTGGAGAGTGTGCCACTGCACTCCAGCCTGGGTGACAGAAAAACTCTGTATAAAAAAAAAAAAAAAAAAAGAGAGAGAGAGATGGGGTCTCGCTATCTTGCCCAGGCTGGTCTCAAAGTTCTAAGCTCAATTCATCCTCCAAGCCACCTTGGCCTTCCAAAGACCTTACAGGCTTTAGCCAATGTGCCCAGCTAATAAATACTTTTTTTTTTGAGAAGGAGTTTTACTCTCATTGCCCAGGCTGGAGTGCAGTGGAGCATTCTTGGCTCACTGCAACCTCCACCTCCCAGGTTCAAGAGATTCTCCTGTCTCAACCTCCCAAGGAGTTGTAATTACAGCATGGGCTACCATGCCTGGCTAATTTTGTATTCTTAGTAGAGACAGGGTTTCACAATGTTAGCTAGGCTGGTCTCGAACTCATGACCTCAGGTGATTTAACTACTTCAGTTTCCCAAAGTGCTGGAATTATACACATGGGCCTCTGCAGTTGGCCTAGTAAATTTTTTTTTTTTTTTTTTTGAGACAGAGTCTCGCTCTGTCGCCAGGCTGGAGTGCAGTGGCGCGATCTCGGCTCACCGCAACCTCCGCCTCCTGGGTTCAGGCAATTCTCCTGCCTCAGCCTCCTGAGTAGCTAGGATTACAGGCACGCGCCACCATGCCCAGCTAATATTTTGTATTTTTAGTAGAGACGGGGTTTCACCGTGTTGACCAGGATGGTCTCGATCTCTCGACCTCGTGATCCACCCGCCTCGGCCTCCCACAGTGCTGGGATTACAGGCTTGAGCCACCGCGCCCAGCCTCGATCTCTTAACCTTGTGATCCGCCCGCTTCGGCCTCCCAAAGTGCTGGGATTACAGGCATAAGTCACCGTGCCCAGCCCCTGGCCTAAATATTTTTAATTAAAAAATTGTTGGCTGGGCGCGGTGGCTCACGCCTGTAATCCCAGCACTTTGGGAGGCC